ATTGTATCACAATCTGTTTCCTTCTTTCTACATTATGGAGTCCAGTTGTTAATTAAGTGAAGAATTTACCTCTAAAAGGCAATTAGTGATATCTTTTATTGATGTTAAGTCTGTGCCGATGTTATGCGTGTTGTATTGCAAACACGTCGCTGTACCTTCCATTTTTGGCACCAGCAAATCAAAGACGTTTGCACAACCCTCTATACCTGGCAATAGGAATATTTCGCTTTCCGTCGTGCTTTTTTTCGTCGAAAGCTTTATACAAACATCGGGTATCAATTGATCATCGCCTGATATGCGATTGAGTAATTTCATTCCTGTTATCTCAGTGAGTTCCTCGTTCTTCATATCTTTCTCAAACATTTTGGCGAGCTTAGCGAAATTGAGATCGCGAATATCCTGCGCGGAAAGAAAAATCTCATACTCCCGTTCCAAGGTCTGTTTAATTTCCACGGCCATCATTGAGTCCATTCCAAGCTCGGACAAAGGCATGTGATGAGCCACGGTACTCATGTCCTTCAGATCTAGATTTTATTTAAACTGCTCGAGTGCATTGATTTCTTCTGGATTGTTAACATAAGTGCCGGTGCCGTGAGCCTCCATGTAGCCTAAGCAAGTCGGTGAAATACCGCATTCATTGTAAAACTCTTCCAGTAAAGTTTGCTGCATTTTGCTCGACGGGAAAGTAATGCCTTGTTCCTTGTATCCATCACAATTAGTTTTCGCGTAGATGACGGTTGCATAAATTCTCTTAGCCACCTTTGCTTTTTGTAAAAGAGCGACTCCGATTGTCTCGCTACACATGTAACCGTTTGCATCGTTGGTAAAAGGTTTGCAGAATCCGTCAGGTGCTAAAATTCCTGCAATTGTAAAATTATGTTATAAAATCTAATTTTGATGTATATTTATATATATTCCACATTAATTAGATTATAATAATTTTTATATTTTTCAATTATCTCCTATATTCTAAATTAATATTTCAATAAGTATAATATCAAGTCGCGCAAACTCCAAAGCTAGATAAGGATTCAGGCAGAGATTTACATCGCCGACAATGGCGGCGTTACACTGCCCTGACCGGATACTTCTATAAGCGGACTCTAAAGCGAAGAGACTTGAGCTACAGGCGGAATCGATTATGTGAGATGGTCCTGTTATATTTAACCAGTGAGACATTCGATTTGCGAACATAGACTTGGAACATCCAAAAGCTGCATCGCCAGCTATCTATTGTGTATTCATATATTGATTAGAAAATTTAAATGTTTATTGCATAAGCTTTGTACGAGTTGATTTACCAACAAGTACATTTTTTACAATATAATATAAAAATGTTATTTATCAAAATTTTTATGTTATAAGCTTGTGCAATATTCTTGCTTGATCGAGTAATTTTTCGTACCTGTACTTTTTCATAAAACCAAGTCTTCTCCGCCTCCGAAAAGCACATTCCGATAAAAATTCCAGTATTTGTTCCAGATAAATCTTTCGGATTTATTCCTGCATCGACGATAGCTTCATACGTATGCTCCATGAGCATCTTACTCTGAGGATCCATGATATGGACTTTGTTGAAGGGAATTTCAAAATAATCTGCATCAAATTTCTCGCAATTATTAATCAGTCCCATACGTTGAGGTAGATCTGGATGACCTGCATATTAAACCGTATGTAATAAGTGAACAGTTATTTTCGTTCCAACTAATATAGAAGTTTGAATGAAAAAAAATTATGGCAATGAATAAAATTTAAATAGAACAGTAATTTTATACATATGTTTCTATGAAATATTTCTAATATAATTTTTTATTCATAGACCGAAGAAGATTTTACCATGATTCCATCGTCGTTCCTCATCTGATCCAAGATCCATTTTGTTAAATAGATTTTCTTGAAGCTGGCTAATATTGTCAGATTTAGGAAATCTACCGGCGATGCCAGAAATAACGATATCATCTTCAGATTCGACATCAATGACAGTGGATTTTTTATTTGAGTTTATGTCAAACCCAACGACAGTAAATTTTACTTTTCTGGTTAACAAAGTCCCAATCAGCAAATTTGCAGATATTTTAAATGATCTTTATTTTACGTTTTTACATTTACACACTCTTTTTTTCTTAATTTTTGATGATAATATTCAAGTGAGATTTTGAAGCCCAACTTATGCGATTGCCTGTGCGACTGGCGTGACACTAGTTAATAGCTCACCTTTATACTTTACCTCAGAGCTCGGAATTAGTTGCATATTTCGGGCCGATTCTCGAGACGACACCTTCTGTTCCCCCACTATCGCCCGGCCGCTGGCGACCGAGCCGCCGATAGTTTTGGCTTAGGAGCGTTTTATATTAGAAATAGGCTAAGTTGTTTAGGCATCTTTCAAGGAATCGTAACATTTTCTTCGCTACATAAATAATATTTATTTTTATTAATAATTAATGGTGGTAAACTAATTCGTGCCGCTCGTTACTAGAAGCGTGCCGGCGCCAATGCTGGCGAGTTTCGACGGTAAAGTTGCATGTTTTTTGTAGTTTAGACATTGCTGAAAATGATTCAATCCTCACAGGTTAGATTTATCGACGCCAAAAAAATTTTCCAATCGATTAAAAATGAACCGCGATAAGCTGTTTTTCCGACATGTGTTTCTTCACTACTTTAATCTCAAGAAAACCGCAGCTGAAACGCATCGCTTATTATCCGAAGTGTATGGTGATGAAACTCCATCGGAAAGAACATGCAGAGTTTGGTTTGAACGCTTTTGAAACGGTGATTTTGACGTGAGAGACAAAGAACGTTCCGGATAACCAAAAAAAGGAATTAGGAGGGTGTGCTGTATTATGAGTTCTTGCGTCTAAATGAAACCGTTACAGTTGATTGTTACCAACAGCAATTATGCTGGTTGAGTGACGAGTTCATGCAAAAAAGACCATCCGTAGCCAACAATCGACGCAAAGTCATTCTTTTGCATGATAATGCTCGACCGCATGTTGCGAAAAGCGTGAAGCAAACATTTCTGCAGCTTGAATAGGAAGTTCTCCCGCATCCAGCGTATTCTCCAGACTTGGCATCGTCGGATTACCATCTCTTCCAGTCGATGCAACACGCACTTACGGACACACACTTCTCCAGTTACAAAGAAGTCCAAAAATGGGTGAATAAACGGATCGCCTCGAAAGACACCGCGTTCTACCGTCGTGGAATTGTTCTGTTGCCGGTGAGATGGGACAAAGTAGTAAAAAATGGAAGAAATTACTTTGATTAAGGTATTCACTCATCTTTCCTTCGAAACAAGTTAATTTTGGAGACGAAAAAACGGCAGGAATTAAGTTTACCACCTATATTATGTAGCGGCCGGGCGATAGTGGGGGAACAGGAAACGTCGTCTCGAAAATCGGCCCGAAATGTGCAACTAATTCTGTGCTCTGCTTTACCTGTTTTTATATGTATAGTAGACATATGATAATTATTTCATCACTACTTTAGGAAGAAAAACAATTGATTGGTCTGAATAATAATTAATGGTTCGTAATCGTGAAACATTAATGCCACGTGTTTCAAATTATTTGCGATTTTTGGTCTGTGAAAGTAAATTCTCTTATTTATTTTACTATCTGTTCCATTGAGAGACGCGAAAATATGATTTGGAAATAAGATTTTTGGGACTAATTGTATATATCTAGTAGAAAATTATTATAATTTTTAGTTGTATGAGCTAGTTACATAATAAATTACATAATTTTGAATAAAGAACTATACTGGTTTTAGAATAAATAAAATTTTTTATTGTAAAAAACAATACAGGGTGATTCAAAATAACCTGATGTCCTTGCAATGCCATATTCTTGAGCGAATTCTGAGACGATTTTTTCCTTTTACAAAATTTTGTTCCAAAAGCTTAGTTTTCGTAGTTATAATTAGTAAAATAAGTTTGTCTATTTACGTAGTTCGATAC